GACTGGTGGTGTGTTGCTGCTGTTGATTGGCCATGTCCATCACCTTTCTTTTAAATGTTCCCTTGAAGTTCAGTCTTCGCTGCCTGCTTCTCTTACCAACTTGTTGGTTTTTTACCTGTAGCTGGTTGCGTTTTTGTGTGAAATTAGCTGCCGCTACTTTTTGTATTTTATAATAATACGTTATCCTCGTACTGGATTTTACTGGGCAGCGTGTTTCGTTGTAAGCAAGCTATTAACTGAAAAAAAAATTGTCGGATCTTCAGTTACATTTTTGATAACATCTGAGACTAGTTTCCTTTGTGCCGACTGGAATTTACATGCCAGCATGTTGCTCATCTCATTGCGCACTTATAAATCTGCCAGTCTCATGCTTAGCTGATTGTAGGCAGTTAAAGAGAAGTCTCGATTTTAAATGCGCAGATTTGCTTTTCAACCGGAAACCTTGTTCTTCTTGTTTTGTTTGACAAATCAATTAGTGCCTCAGCTAAGTACCTGATGACTCTCCTTTTGTGAGAGGTTTGATTGGAGTTTGTGTAGGACTTTAAAAGACTTTTCAATGAAGTTGAATTTCGTACACTCATACTTTGTTTCCGAGTGCGTTTTACGGGGATACGGGCCATGTATGTAGCTCCACGGAAGCAAGTGGACTGATATTTGCATGCTAACGTCGCCGGATACAGCAGTTTGTATGTCACATGTTGATCGAATAGTTTCTTTGCAGGAAATGTTAGGTTGGTAGTGGGAGCCGCTTTTTGTAGAGAGCTTCTGCTTCATTCACCAACTGAATCTTTCTGAGGGCTACCTGGACGTATTCAACAGCTTTCTTCGGTTACAGGTTCTTGCTCATGAAGCTGAGCGGGAAACTATTTCCCATCAAGATTCTTTGAAAATTTTGCAGTTCTTCTCCTCAATACAATCCTCAGTTCATATTTTCCAGATCCTTGGGAAAAAAGAGTACTTATATATATATATATATATATATATATATATATATATATATATATATATATATATATATATGAGGAGTTTCTCTTTCTGATGACTGGGATCCACACCTTCCTTTGAAAATTACTAAAGTGTCCGTTGCCTCTGTGAGCTTTTTTATAGATGCATCTCCTCAGCAAGTTATCAGCATTTCTTCTCAAAATCCAATCCGATCAAGATCCAGTCAAACCTCTGGAAAGAAGAATTTCATCAGATCAAGTTAGCTGAGGGTATTATAACAGAAGAAGGAGGCAATAATGATCCTAAAGTTCAAGCCTAAGCTATGTATTCAGAAGAAATATATCTAGCCTTTGTCTCTATCATCTCTCTCTCTCTCTCTTCAAAATATTGATTTTCCTATTACCTTTCTTATCCAGACATTATGTCTATTTCTAGGTAGTTATCACACTAGCCCTCACACGCAATAGGTGTGGCATTCATTATACTAATAATGATCACTTTATTCCAAACAGCAATAATAATTAAACAGAATGGAATTTTCAGCGTTATTGTTGATACTTATGGCAACAGTTTACCTCCTTTTATAAATTTGTACATACATAAAATTTAACATGGTAATAATAATAATATTATTATTAATAATGAAACCGCTATGATCCGAATGTTGGTGGAAACATAATGAAGTATAACTAGATAGTAGCATAGATAATACATGGGATAATAATAATAATCTTTGCTTATACTCACTTTGCAATTCACTAACTACTGATTTAAGCACTAGGTTTATAAGTTCTTTTCTGAAATCTGACGCTGTCTGCACACAAAACTCGTGCAAATATCGCGCTGTGTGTTAGAATTTTTATATTTAGTAGCTGGACGAGCGTTAATTCTTATATATGAACAGTTTCTTCTGGTTTCACTGTCCAGAGAGAGAGATACAAGGAAAAAGTTGTGAATCAGTAGAGAGGATGTTCGGTTTCTAAAAAACTAATTTTAACCGAATGCTTGCATGAATTGAATTGAAATGCCTATTGGCAGCAGTAGTAATGCCACACACACACACGACTAACCCTGCTTATTTAAAGTCTTCAGTGTTCTACGTAGTATGGTATGATATATGCTTGGAGAAGTCGAGGTGAAGAATAAGTGGGACGGACTACACAAAAAAAAGTGTGAATGCACAGAATACATGAATTAATTAATGAATTGCTAGAGGAGAATTTGTGTTATGCCAGAACAAATTCTCTCAACTTCTTCATGTAATAAGCTGAACAACAACAATCTTTCTTAGAAATCAACAGGATATGAGACGAGGAGAGACTGATCCCGAGGTGAGTAAAAACCACTGGATCTCCACCGCCTCATCCGAACTGATAGATGCTAGAAGACTTATTCCGGCGAGCTCCGAATTCAATGAGGAGCGAAAGCTGCACAAGAGGAAACTTACGAAAAGTCTCCGCAAGGACCGTGAACAGTGGTGGGCGACAAAAGCCAAAGAGATGGAGAAAGCTTCGAGGATAGGCAACACCAGGCAACTCTTTGGACTCATCAGGGAAACGGGTGGGAGAAGACAAATCATCAGTGAGACAATCTCGGAAAAAAATGGCACTATAATTAGCTCCCAGGATAGACGACTGGATCGTTGGAAAGAGCATTATGAGGAGCAGTTTAATTGGCCCACAGCCACGCTCAACCTTCCGAGCATCCAACACCTCCCTGAATGGGATATAAACACAGGTCCTCCGTCACTAACTGAGGTTACTAAAGCTGTCACCAATCTGAAACTAGGCAAAGCAGCGGGACCTGATGGAATGACTCCAGAGGTATTTAAGTACGGTGGAGACAGCTTACTGTCGGGATTAACTGAGGTACTAGGCAGCGTCTGGGAATCAGAAGAAGTCCCATCGGGTTGGTGTAAGTCACTGATTATCCCCATATACAAGAAGGGAGACAAGTCTTCCTGTGATAATCACAGAGGGATTAGCTTGACTAATATAGTATCTAAAGTCTTAGGCTCAATAATCATGCGTAGACTGAGTGGTGCTCGGGAAGCACAAACACGAGAGAGCCAGGCAGGCTTTAGACCAGGAAGAGGGTGTATTGATCATATCTTCACCCTCCGACAGATTCTAGAACATAGGCATTCCTACCGGCGTCCAACAGTCATTATATTTCTTGACCTAAAGGCAGCATTCGACTCTGTCGATCGAGAAGTTCTCTGGAGATGCTTGGCTGTAAAGGGAATTCCAAGAAAATATATTGCACTGATTAAGGCACTCTACTCGTACTCATACAGCCAGGTGAGGGCTTACGGCGAGCTGTCATCTGAACTGATGACGACCAGTGGTGTCCGTCAAGGATGCCCATTATCTCCTTTTCTATTCAACTTCATCATAGATGTGTTAATGGACTTAACCCTAGGTGACTTCAGCGACTCAGGGATTGACTTGCTACCGGGGAATAATCTCGTTGACTTGGAATATGCAGACGATATAGTCCTTCTAGGCGAAGACGCTGACGAAATGCAGAGTCTTCTAAACACCTTGAGCCGCAATCTACGAATGTTTGGCATGCGATTCGCTCCCGCCAAATGCAAGATGATGTTACAGGACTGGACTACATCGACGCCTAGTTTAAAAATAGGAAGTGAAGTGGTAGAGCACGTTGACCGCTTCACTTATTTGGGAAGTACCATCAGCCCCAACGGGTTGATCTCTGACGAAATCTCAGCACGAATACAGGGGGCTCGTTTCGCATTTGCCAGTTTACGCCGACTCTGGCGTAGACGAGATGTTCGACTATCGACCAAAGGGCGGGTGTACTGCTCATCAGTCCGCTCCGTCCTCCTTTATGGTTGTGAGACCTGGCCACTGAGAGTGGAAGACATGAAAAGACTAGCTGTCTTTGATCATAGGTGCCTGCGCTCTATTTCCCGTGTAAAGTGGCATAATAAGGTGAGCAACATTGAGGTTAGGCGTAGAGTTCTAGGTAAACAGGGGAAATCAATCGACGAAGTCGTGAAGTTACAAAGACTGAGATGGTTAGGACATGTGTTACGTATGCCAAGCCATCGCCTCCCTCGACGAGCAATGTTAGCGGATATAGGGTCAGGCTGGAAAAAAGCTAGCGGCGGTCAAACAAAAACTTGGCACCAGTCAATGAAATCCACAACAGTTGGTCTAAGCCACGTAGGAAGGTGTAGACTTCCAGGCTGGGGTCCTCGGGACGGTAAAAATCTATGGTTGGAAACAATTGGTGACATGGCTCAAAATCGTTCTCAGTGGCGCAGATGCATCCACTCCTTGTGACTTATGATTTCCAATGAAACTGTTTTGTTCTTCGTTATTACTCCTTTGTCTCACACCTCTGCTCACTGTTTCTATTATGCTTTTCTTGTACTTTCTTCTCTTGCTTCGCGTGCTACACGGAGTGTGGCGACTTGAACTTCCGCACATTTGTGCAAAGTTCCATGTCAAAAACAGACAGATCGGTTAGAGAACTAGCAGTACGCACCCACTGGGAGTTTGAACTCACGACTTTCTGGTTTTAAGGCGAGCTAGTAGACCATTAGGTCGTAAACCTCAACTTCTGCCGACCGCTAGCCAGCATCTTCGGCGAGTACTTGTTTCCACGCCTGACCTGTTGCACCCTACTGGTTATGACGTTCGACTAGAACCTCAGGTAACTACCTACCTGAATACGGCCAGTCGCTAGTGAGCATCATTGATTTTCAAGTATTGATTTGTTGGGATTTGACTCTAGTTTTCCAATAGTTCTCTAACCCATGTCAGCTCATGATGAGATCCTGTGACAAAACAGTATGTTGTTTTCTACTGGAAAGAAAAGTAAGAAGGCAACTGGCTTGCGAATTGTTTGGGATTTAGGTGGCGAATGTGGAGGAAAAAAGTGTATTGTTAAAACACACTACAACAAGATGAGTATTCTTTTCTTTCTTTTCGGAGTCCATCGACGAGATTGCAATCAAAGTTAGTTAGTTGTTTTTGCAGGCTATTCATTATGTTGCTTTTCGCTTTCCTTTATGCGTTTGCATACAGGTAGTGAAATCGTCCCGTTAGAAGCTGCCGGTCTAAAAGCTTGCGATGATGTTTTTCAATTTCTAAGATCAGAAGGTCGCAGTAAAACCAGGTCAACAGCAGCATTAACCACCAACACCACCACAACAACAACATCAACGAAAACAACAGTTCCTGTTACATCACCGGCAAACAAAACAGCTGAAGAGGATATATTCGGTCTCGACTTGACATTCAACCCATCCGCACCGACTACATGGAAATCAAAACTTTCTGCTGACAATCGGCTTACAATATCTGCTTATCCTAAAGTGAAACGGAAAAGCAAGTCATCAGGTTTAACACAAAGACACATAAACACTCCTCTTTTGACTCCTGATGTCACTTCAACTGACAAAGAACTTGAGTGAATGAAAAGATTTAAAGGTTAGTTGTTCTTTTTCTAATTATTAGTGTTCAGCGTATTGCTTTAACTTTATTTATTTGGGAAGTTGTTGTATTAGCCAGCCAGCCATCCCCAGCGGGTTGATCTGATCGCTGATGAAAACTCAGCACGAATACAAAAGGCTCGTTTGGCATTTTCCAGACAACTTAAGCCACCTCTGGCTGAGTGGGCGTGAAATCCAATTGGCTGGCTGTCAACCGAAGGACATGTGTACTTGTCAGCAGCTATTCGCCTCTTCCTCCTTGATGCCTCGCTGGCCGGCTTTGAGGCATGGTCATTCACACAGTGGAAGATATGAAAAGTCTTGCTAGATGTCTTTATTCATAGGTGTCTGAGTTTTATCTCTCGTGCTAGGTAGGTGGTTGTTGTAACGGGGTGAGCAATATTGAGGTGAGGCATCGGTCGAGTGCTAGGTAAGGAATGAGAAGGAGAAATCAGTCGACGAGGTTGTGAAGCAGTTACGTCGATGGAGATGGTTGTTAGGACACGAGTTACGTATTTGTGCATAACAATCACCTTCTTCTATCGACAGGTGATGTTAGCTAACTAACATAGGATGGGTCAGGTTGGAAAAGAGCTAGCACATTGTAGTCAAACCAAAAATAGCTTCACCATCATTCAATGAAATCCACAACAGTTAGTTTAAGCCACATAAAGAGGTGTAGACTTCCTGTTGGATGAGGTCGTCGACGTAGTAAGAATCAATGAGGGCTGGAGACAATTGATGACAGTAGGGTATTAGGTAAACTATATAGTTTTTCGTGCTGTAAAATATCTCCCACTATGGCTCAGTAAAGGTGTAGTAAAAACCATTAACAGTTCGATGTTAGACCATCTGGTGCAAACCGGCCGGCCACAAAGCCAGCCAGCCAGCGTGGAAGAATCCTTCTCCACAATCATCTACTGGGCATTTTCAATCGGTTAAATAGTTTTTTTGATGGGCTCCTTAGACAGGATCCTTTGATTAATGAATCTTGTTTTTGAGTTTGTGGTTGGTTTCAATGTCAGCCACTTTTATTCCTGCCCTCATTTGGTAAGAATTTTTCACCGTGACTATTCCTAGGTTCCTTCTTTGTATGGAAGTACTACTAATGAATTAATGTTATTGATTTAGTGTTGTCATTTTCATGTACACATGCATGTTTGTCGTGCATGTCGTCATTTAATATTACTGTCAAAATCACTACTATAAGTATTAATTTTAGTTTTACATTTCCCTATATACTTCCTGATTAATTTATCCAGGTAATGATTAAGTTTCAGAGCTTGTTTTATATGCCTCACTTCCTGTCTGAGATTCTTCTTGGTACTATTTAGTTTTTCTGCACTATTGCCACTTAAACATTTCACCAATGGTCTTTCCGACATAGGAGTGAAGATGATCCAAAATCCAAATACCTGTTTGAATGTGTAGGTTTTCCTGTAAACACTAGTATTTGATTTCCCATCTTCTTTCCTTTTTACATTGCAATCTAACATTGGAAGCTCTCCTTCCTGACTTTTCAATTCATCATAAGTGAATTGAATAACTCCTACCATCGAGTTGATGTGTTCGAACAATCTGTTTATGTTCTGTGTTCTATCTGCGATGAATGTGTCATATTTTCATATACCTTCATCATACATTTGGGGTGGATGGGCCTGAACAATTTCAGTCCCTTTAAGTTTTTCCACCCCTATCCTTGAATTTATCTTCCACAATCGGGGATATTGTTGACATCATGACAACTCCCTCAGTTTGTTGTTTGTATATTATCTCTTGAAATTTAAATACTGTGAAACTCAGGCATAGCTGCACTCACTGCATTATGTCCTCAAGTGGCACTTTTGTCCTAAGTTCGCGTTCTTGGTCAGAAATGAGTTCGTTTATTTATTATTGGTATACGTGTATATAAACTGACAACGTCAAAACTAACCATTTTCTCTTCATTATCCAATTTTAAACTGTCTATGCAATGGTATTCGCATTGTGAAAACTATGGAAACATAACATTTTTGAGAGGACAATTTACACTTCGTAGACGACTTTCAGTTAGTTTTCCAAATGAAAACAGCATTTTGAATTGAGTTTTTGAACTCCCTTGTTTTTGTTTGCTGGACAGACTGAATGTACGCGTATACACAATGAAATAGTAATAATAATAAGCACCGTAGAAGCACTTTAGATGCAGCTGCCGTCTTGTATCATAACATTGCTTTCAGTCTAGACAAGGGGGCTAAATTGTTCGTTGTACCTTCCTGGACTATACATCTGCTTTTGACTCAGTCCCTTAGGAACATCTGTTATGTATGAATATAATGACCTTTTAGACTACAAGCGAATCTAACTTAATGCGCTGGTTAATCTGTCCTAATCGCACGTCAGCAACAACAATAATACCGCCGTAATGTGCCATGGAAATTCCTAGAATCCTGGTACTCAAACGAAAATGCAATTAATAAACACGTTAATATAGATGAAATATATCAACTAATAAAAAGTAAATCAGATGACCAGAAAGTTTAAAATCCAAGTCAATAGAAAACGGTCAATACATATCTAAAGATGGTTACCGGGAGGCGCAATTATATCACTCATGAAGAAATTTAAATCATTTCACTTTATCCTAAGTACTGCGCTGAAGATGTCGTCCAGAAAGACGACGAAAGCTCCGCAACTAAACCAACCAGCTCAAAGAACACTATTATTTGCAAATAGTACCGCCGGGCACGCAAGACAAAGAAAGAAAACTGGACGCTGATACGAGAGCTTTTTACTGTCTGTACAACAGTCGAAAATGTTAAACCAAACCCCGTATTTATACAGTTAGGAAAATCTATGTCACATTAAAAAAATATTAACAATCAATAATCATGCAGGTGCGAAAAATCGATATTGATGAGTCACCAGTGTATATATCATCTTATTCAATAAACTTGCTGTAAGTCAAACAGAATGTTGAGCTGTTAACTGGTTACATTCCTATTTCTCAGAAAGAAAGCAGTACACCATGTATAAAGGGAAGTCTTCTACTTCATTGTCTACTGAAGCTGGTGTCCCTCAAGGCGCTGTCCTTTCTGTTTTTCTTGTTTTCTTTCTTCTTGCATGACTTGCCTCACTCTGGTGAAATAAACTTCGTGAAGTACACTGATGATTTAACAGTTTCAATGGCTGTTAACTCCCAGCTAGATTGTACCAAAATAAATAAGCTTTCTGTCGGGAGTCAGTAAATGGTTTGAGTCTAACGGTGTTAAACTGAATTACTATGGTGTTATGTACTACACTACCAGAGTGCTCAAGGTTTACACAATGTATTTGGTCGTTATTTATGCCCATTGTGTTATGCAGAAAATAAGTAGTAATTCATTATTGAGTAATATACGAAGTAGGGTAGGTGACATAATTGATATAATTATTCAGAAATGGCTTCAAAAGTAAAAATAAAAGTTTCATAAATCACGTGGTACTCAACAACGGCACTAAGAAAGAAAGTGTTTGAAATTCTATGAGGTTGAGGTTGTAATTGAGTGAGAAAAATTAGTTGGCAGTTGAGTGTGTCACTTTGTCAGCTGTGAATATGGCGAGAGAATGTAAAAAAGTAACATGAGAGTGTTAATATTAAATTGATTATTAAACTAAAAGTAAAAGCAAAGTAATCATTAAAAATATAAAATTAAAAAAAATTACACGGAATGACTACAGTGAAGAGGTTAAGACGACGGTAAAATACGAGAATGGACAAACAACTTTTTCTGTATATACAGAGTTCGGAGGTGTGTATTGACAAATTGTCAATGCCTCGGCCGTACACAAAAGTTGAAAACCAACTCCCTTTGTTCCATTTTGGTATCACCGTGTTAATAATCTTCAGAGTCGACCGTGTTGGAGCTGGGTGTGAGAGTGACTTCAGTCCACCGAATGCTCGAGAATTGAGTTAGGTAGGTAACTGTACTGAATTGTCATTTTGCTAACCACACGTTGGATAATGTTCAGAGAGGTGTTTGGAAGCTGTATGGCGGCCAATATGACCAGTTCTACAAGAACAAATGAACTTCTTATAAATACAAATTTAGGTGTGACCTGTCCAAAGTGACAGTTTAATATCTACTTGACAAATCTATTGATCATTAGTTGACTGTAAAAGGTGATCCTCAGTTCAACAGAAAAGAAGGCTATTCTTAGTGATCTAGATAAGCAGTGGTTATTCAGAATGTAATATATCAGGTGCGGTATCACCCTTCTAAATCCAATGTAATTTACAACTTTAATTTTTCACTTCTGAGTAATTATATCAATTATGACACCCACCCATTCCCACCCTGTATTATTCAATAATGGACTAGTATACAGTTATGGTAAATATAAATACGACTGTAGGTGGTAGAGCTAGCCTGTGAAGATGATTTCGTCGATAAAGAAGAAGAAGAAGAAGCATTTTGCTTCACTGAATATATTGTCTTGTATTTTTCTTGGTTATGTAATTACTGGTTTAATCGCGCTAACAGGTTTGCATTTTTGTATATATGCTTTTTGTTTATTTTCTTTTTTTGAAAAATCCGGATCAAATTTTCATCCTTTCTAAATTCCAGTTGTTGTTTTTTCTCTTTTTGTTGAACTTTTTATTATCCCCATCATCATCGTCAGTGTGTGTCTGGATTCCAAATGATTTTACTATCATCATGGTGTTGTTGGTTCATAGCACATAGATAGGTGAAGACAAATTTTGACGTCGTCAACGCGGGCTCCCTGTTTTTTTGGTGAAAAAAAACCAACAACAACAGACAGCAGTTTCATGCCGCAAAAACCCGAAATATGTCCATTTTCATTATAACGCTGGTACTACTGGTGCTGGTGCTGGTGCTGGTACTTTCCATGTACACACTTGAGCACTGATATCCTTCACATCACAGTGGCTAGTGTTTCTATTGTCTTACACGCGCCTACATATATACATATATGCATATATATATATATATATATATATATATATATATATATATATATATATATATATATAAACCCTTATTTGTCTGTTCTTGCTCTTTTAGCATACACACAGCTGTCTTCTTTCTTTCCTTTCTTTCTTGCCCATTTTGTAAAATGTGCGTGTGTGTTTGTAATTTTGCCAAAGATTTCATTCAGAAGAATAATTTTAATAACAATATCTTATATTCAAACCACTCTGTCTGTCTGGATTCAACATAGAACTTGGCACCGAAGTGCAGCACTTCGAGTTTCCACGTTCCAAATAGCACACAGAGGTAGGCAAGAAGACGAGTGAAGAGAATCGATAGAGTTTGACAAGTATGAGAGTGAAACAGAATGGGTAATGGTAAAAAGGAATATGAAAGATTACAGAGACTGAATACATCTGCGCTGGCCATTGACAACGATTTTGAGCCATGTCACCTATTGTCTGCAGCCATTGATTCCTAGAGTCAGTCTCGAGGGCCCCAACCCGGAAGTCTGCATCTCCCTCCCTACCTGACTCAGTTTAACTGTCAAGGATTTCATGGATTGATGAGGCCATGTTTTTGTTTGGCCACCACTTACTCTTTTCCAACCTGCACCTATATCAGCTAGTAATGCCCGTCATCGGGGGAGGCGATGGTTAGGCATGCGCACCACATCACCTAGCCATCTCAGTCTATGTAACTTTATAGCCTCGTCGATTGATTTTCCCTGTTTGCCCAACACTCTACGCCTAACGTCAACATTACTTACCTTATTAAACCACCTAACGTGAGACAGAGATCGCAGATATCTATGATCGAAAGCAGTCAACCTTTTCATGTCTCCAACTCGTATTGGCCATGTTTCAGAGCCATAGAGAAGGACGGAGCGAACTGCTGAGCTGTACACACGTCCCTTGGTTGATAGCCAGCCGGATGTCAGGCCTACGCCAGAGATGGTGTAAGTCAGCGAAAGCAGCTCGAGCTTTTCGGATCCGTGCTGAGATTTCGTCGCCAACCAGTCCGTTGGTGCTGATACAACTTCCCAAATAGGTGAAGTGGTCAACATGTTTTATCACTTTACTCCCTATCACATTCAAACCACTATCTGTTGAAATAGCTTTGGTGTGTGTCTATGGTTAAGCTGTGTTCGCCAACCATGCACGTGTCCTCATCCCTGCGTTTCGATCCCCTGCCAACAATGTACTCCACAAACCTTATCACAACCAGAAGTGGTGGGACCGGTATTGTGAGAAAGGTTGGGTTAGCAAGGCGGGCTAACAACTCTGACTTCGTCAAAATTCAACCACTGCTATCGAAACTTGAAAAGACGTCTAGCTTGTGAAGCCGTTATGTTCCACTGGGAACGGAAAGAAAGAAAAGTGCTCAAAAGTTGACATTACAGATAGCTTATTGTCTGTCAGTAGTCAGCCTACTTTGTCTCCAATTACAATTTTGTTGTTACAGAGAGTTACACATATATTATGTTCTCTATTAGAAATAATATTGTAGTTTTGTGAACTTATTTAAACGGACGAGTTCACGTATTTTTATCTAGAATACACCATCGTTTCAACCACACAGGGGGTGAATTTACAGATTGAAGATGTGTGTCCAATCTAGCCAGTATCAATCAACCACAAAGGGCAAGGCAGACCCCCCTTTATACTCGGAAACCAGTGACTCTGAACATACATACTATAGTAGGCTAAAAAGAAACTACCCAATCAAGAAGATCTTGACAGATCTGTATCGGTCAATCAGGTGCGTTGTTTGCAAAAGAAGTTTATATAAAAGTGATGCAACTTTGAAAAGTATCTACATATATATATATATATATATATATGTGCTTCAAGAAAACCTCCCAACTTCTAATAGGAGAAGGTAAACAATAGCCTCCGAAGGGATGTGAACGCTCCAGTGACCTTGAATACATGCTATTTGGCTAAGGATACCTGTCATTACTACAGCTAAAATATGAACACTTTTCATCAACTGAGAGGCGAATTTCACCCAGTACACGTTGTTAAGTACTGTTTGGGTCATACGGTAATAGCTGTCTAGGATTAGGGTTGGGGTCAGGATTAAGGTTAGCGTTGAGATCAGAGATAGATTTAGATTTGGGATCAACTAATTTTAATTTGTTTATCATCCACACTTTGCCAGTAGTTGATCGTTGATTCACTTACTGGAAACCATCGTAATTCAATCAACGGCTTCTGGAGAGGACAGTGAAACAGAATGATAAGAACAATAAACGGGTCACAAAAAAAATGCCCACATTAAGTCATCTCGGTGAATACATGTACACAAATTGATCTAACTTAAAAGCTGATACTCCTAATTATATAACTAAGACGTATTTTTAAGTCATGTCAGAAAAAGGAAAGCATAATATGAAAACGTTCAGAAAAAAATTGGATGTTAATGAAGATGCTTGGAGACAAGTGCTAAGATAAGTTATGCTGTAGATAGAGGAATTAGGTAGAAGGTTAGTTAGGTGAATGATGATAAGTGCTAGAACAAGACATATAAGCTAACAGTACTGTTGTTTTCAAGTAGATCTTCAGGCTTTACTGTAATTTGCACAGACTTATATTTTTTTTTATGAGTTGATCATGGATTGATATCAGTTAGAGAACCATTGAAAACCATCAAGGAGTACTGGACAGCTGTTTCATCCTAGTTTGAGAATCATCGGCAGTTCGCGCACCCCCTGCGGTTCAAACTCGTAAAAACGAAACTAACCTTTACAAACTAAACTATAGATAACAGACTTATATATAAAAATTTTAACCAATGACGGTGAGTTTGTGGATCAAATAATAATGATAATGTTAGTCGTGATGTGGTAAATGTTTTGAATGTCATTAATAACGATGATTATAAAGGTAACAAAATAATGATAATAAGGTTTATGCAGGTGGCGATAAGAATAACAAAGGTAATAATATATATGTAAATTTAGATAATTCAATAATTAAATAATTAGGTCAATTCTTAAAAGTTACGTAATGCCTAAAGGTAGGTGAAGTGGACAGATAGTCAGAGTGCGTCGGTGGCACAGTGGTTAGGACTCTCGCCGACCATGCACATGGTCCAGGGTTCGACCCCCTGCCAACGCACACCTGATTTCTATGGTCGGCCTGCAAAATTTGGGCTACCGTTATCCATGCTGAAAATTCCATACTTGTACCAAAAATACGGTGTGGAATCAAGCTGTAAATATAAATATCATAAAAGTACGAAAGATATGAAAATTAAGAGAGGGTGGGTGGGAGGCTTTTTCTAATTAGAATTCACCTAGGCCAAGGGAGAGAGAGACAAAAGTAGAACAAACTTTTTGTGAATGCAGGAACTAGGATTGTTCTCTCGAATTATTTCCCAAGAATAAACTTCGGCTATGTGTGCAGGGCGGGTTTGAATTCCGTTCGATCGAGTGTGATAGATAACTTTGAAGAAAATTTTGTCCACTTGTAGACGGCTATCATCAATCAAATGAGTCAAAATAGAATTTCTAATAGATTTCACTTAGGAATGCAAGGTGCTGGTTAATACGGTTGTGAAGCTGTCTAGTTGATGTTCGCCCCACATAGTCACCTATCTCCGCTGGAACAGATAAATTTGTAGATAAACATAGAAATGACACAGCTAGGTAGCTTGTCCTTCGCTTAAGCGATCATAATTGGTCGGCTGGAAAATGACGAACACAAAGGGCTGCGGCAGTATAACTCCGTTTTATAGCTCTCGATAATCTTAGGTCTAAGATTTCACTAGCAACGTTGTCCCCACTAAGTTAAACTGCAACTTTAGGAAGAGTTATTTTTTTTTCTTAATTGTGTTGTCGGTTTGTCTTTATTTTACCTTGTCTTCGTGTGTCTCCTTACAAATCTATCAGGATAAACCAATTGGACTAGTATATCCGTAGAGTTCTCAGCTCCTCTCTTCCATAGTGCCAGGACTGCAGATTCTGTGGCTCAGTAAACGGGGTTTCGTTTTTGTATATGGCGTGTTCCATGCTGGCTTCTACAGATGAGTCTTTTTACTGTCTCATCTTCTTCATGTCTAAGCTTTTGGAGGAAAGCTTTCTAAATTCGATAGTTGTTTCATAAACTGATGAAAATCTTTAAGGAATTTCGAAGACTTTATGGCAATACTATGTGATATCGAACTAAACTGTTTGCACTAGCTGTCGTATATATATATATATATATATATATATTGCAGAGGGGTCGGGCGACCTAAACTTGTTCATCAGAAAACTGTCAATTATTGGTGACACCATGCATATATTGCTGGTTGGCGGATTTTCAACTGTGTTATCCCACAGTAACGAAATGTGAGATCGTTCAGGATACACACATTCGCGGTCAAATGTCACCGTTTTCGCTAGAAATATATATTAATAATAATTTGTTTTATTTACAAGCAGTACTACTGATACACTGTGTGGAATTTTCTGCATCGGGTACAATATTTTATTTATTTCTATCGAATAGCGTTAAAAACATTATTGAATTTAAGTTTTGATTGGACCGAAGTGCTCGGTCTCAGGTTGACATGACGGCTTCTTGTGCAGATGCTTCGACGATGTCTGGGAATTAAATTAGTATACAATTGGTGGATGGTGGCTAGCAGTGGAATCCAGGATGCGCATTTCGTCCTATTTGGGACTCGTCTACTGGATGTACCTGCATTCCTCAGTGAGTGATGATGTTCCCACCGAGGCTCGGACCCAGTGTCCATAGTTTCAAACGC